TTTTTTTTTTTTTTTTTTTTTTTTTTTTTTTTTTGTATCGTGGATGTTTGCTTTGTTACTGAGTATGTGATCAGTTTTCAGGAAGGTTCCATGAGGTGCTGAGAAGAAGGTATATTCTTTCCTGTTTGGGTGGAATGTTCTATAGATGTCTGTTAAGTCTATTTGATTCATTACATCTGATAGTTCTCTTATTTTTCTGTGAAGTTTCTGTCTGGTTGACCTGTCCATTGGCGAGAGAGGAGTGTTGAAATCTCCTACTGTTAGTGTGTGGGGTTTGATGTGTGATTTGAGTTTTAGTAGTGTTTCTTTTACATAAGTGTATAGAAGGAGCTGCTGGCAGGCCTGCTTTTCGTCCCGCCAGGCTCCAGCATGATTAGCTTTACACACGAAATAACAATGCACAAATTGTATTAATTTAAACACTGGCTGGCCCATTAGCTCTAGCCTCTTACTGGCTAATTCTCACATCTTGATTAACCCATTTCTATTAATGTGTGTAGCACCACTAGGTGGTGGCTTACCAAGAAAGATTCAGCATGTCTGACCTGGCGGCTGGCTCCATGGCGTCTGCCTCACTGCCTTCTTCCTCCCAGCATTCTGTTATGTCTTCCCCACCTACATATGTTCTGACCTATCAGGCCAAGCAGTTTTATTTATTAATTAACCAATGAAAGCAACAGATAGATAGAAGACCCACCTACATCATATGTGGGTGTTTTTATATTAGGGGCATAAATATTCAGGATTGAGACTTCATCTTGATTAATTGTTCCTGTTATGAGTATAAAGTGTCCTTCTCCATCTCTTCTGATTGATTTTAGTTTGAAATCAATTTTGTTAGATATTAGGATAGCCACACCCACTTGTTTCTTAGGTCCATTTGATTGGAAAACCTTTTCCCAACCCTTTACTTTGAGGTAGTGTCTGTTTTTGAGGTTGAGGTGTGTTTCTTGTAAACAGCAGAATGCTGGGTCCTGTTTTCATGTCCATTCTCTTAACCTGTGCCTTTTTATAGATGAATTGATTCCATTGATATTAAGCGATATTAACTCGTTATTTTTTGGTGATAGTGTTTGTGTGTTTCCCTTTGAGTTGTGTTGGTGGAGGGTTATCAGATATCTGCTCTTGTGGGTGTTGTTGGCTTCCTTGGGTTGAGGTTTTCCTTCTAGTACTTTCTGTAAGACTGGGTTTGTGGATACGTATTGTTTAAATTTATTTTTGTCATGGAAAATCTTGTTTTCTCCATCGACGGTGAAAGAAAGCTTTGCTGGGTATAGTAGTCTGGGCTTGCATCCATGGTCTCTTAGTGTCTGCAGCACATCCAAGACCTTCTGGTTTTCACGGTTTCCATTGAGAAGTCAGGTGTAATTCTGATACGTTTACCTTTATATGTTACTTGACTTTTTCCTTTGCAGCTCTTAAAATTTTTTCTTTTTTCTGTATGTTTTGTGTTTCGGTTATTATATGGTGAGGGGATTTTTTTTTTGATCTAGTCTATTTGTTGTTCTGTAAGCTTTTTGTACCTTCATAGGGATATCCTTCTTCAGGTTGGGAAAGTTTTCTTCTATAATTTTGTTGAATATATTTTCTGGGCCTTTGAGCTAGAGTTCTTCTTCTTCTTCTTCTACCCCTATTATTCTTAGGTTTGGTCTTTTCATGGTGTCCCAGATTTTCTGGATGTTTTGTTAAGAATTTGTTGGATTTGATGTTTTCTTTGACCAATGTGTCTATTTCGTCTATAGTATATTCAGTGCCTGAGGTTCTTTCTTCTATCTCTTGTATTCTGTTGGTTATACTTGTCTCTGTAGTTCCTGTTCGTTTACCCAGGTTATCAGGTTTAGCTGTGAGCCATCTTGCTGACCCTCACAGATTAAAACACAAACACAAGAATAACAAACACACACATCACCATCATTCAATTTTACTGCCTTTAGGTAAAAGTCCAGGATACAGCATAGCTTCAACTACCTTCTAAAACTCTCCATCATTTACTGTATCTTATACATATCGTAAATATGTCTACAATCAGTCACACAATTGGCCTTTACTTCAGTGTTAGACACAGAGTGAATAGAAGCCACTGTCAACATTGGCTGTTGGCAAGGGGGGAGGCACCTGACATTTCTAGCCCAGCTGTGGTAGCAATCTTTTTGGCATTGCAGGGTCAGTGGGCATTCTTTTTTTTTTCTTTTTAAAAAGGGAGCCCTTAAAGTATATCAAAGAAGTTTGTATGGGTTTCCTATTTGGTTCACTTAGTGGGTTGGCGTTCTCCTTCCCTCAATTCCGTATGTTTGAGAGTTTAGCAACCTGCTTGTAAGTCAGCAGAGTAAGGTCCCCTGCCTACCAGCCTGGCATCTGGAGCTCTCCACCCCTCCCATTTCACAAAAGGCTGATGTCTGAAGGACTGAACCTGTGAGCCTTGAGGCCCTGGGGGCCACGCAAAAATCATTGAAACCCTTCAGGGATGAGAAACTGAGTCCTCAGGGGAAAGACCGATTTCCCAGAGACCACAGGAGACAGTGGAAAATGAGGGGGGTTCTCCAGGTGGTCTATCTGGTCCTTAAGACTGCTCTGAACATCACAAGCTAGAACTGTTCTTAAAATGGCCTAGTGAGGCCTGGCAATAGTGGTGCACACCTTTAATCCCAGCACTAGCGAGACAGAAGCAGGTGGATCTCTACAAGAGGTAGTTCCAGGACAGGCTCCAAAGCTACAGAGAAACCCTGTCTCCAGAAGAAAAAAAAATGGACTGGTGATAGTACATGGATGTGGAAGGGAGGAAGATGGTCCTGCAAAGTATGGAGAGCTAGTGCAAACCCTCCCTTGACATCCTTTTGACTAGTAATAAAACATGTAAATGTCAATGATGACTGAGTTTCTAGAAAGGACATAAAAATGAATAACAAGGCTTAAGATAAAATGTATTTTATTTGAATACTGAATGCATTCTGTTACGACACTGATGAGTTGAGAATGGAATTCCTTTGATGCAAAAATCCCTCACAACAATACAAATAAAATCGCTAATGTATCAAGTGACATAAAAATCATCAACATTCTGTGGTTCACTCCAGGGAACCCATGACATGACAGGTTGCCATTCATCTTATTTGAGCCTTAAGAGCTTGGAACTATCAAGAGCAGAAAACAGCAGGCCCCCAAATTCCACCCACAAGATGAGACAAAGCGAATGACTTCATAACAACCCATTAAAGAGTAGGGTTAACAAAAAGAAATAGCTGAAACTTGTGCTTTAAATGAAAATGGGGAGGGCAAGCAAATATTGCCAATTAGTTTTTAAATTTCAGGTGACAACATATTTTCATTTCAGGGTAAGAAATTTACCACCTATTTCAACTGATCTTTTGAATGCAAGAAGCTGCTCTGCCGGGTACAGTAGAATGATAGGAGGTTGGTTCTTGGATTCTTTGGGTACTAAAGCAACAGCAGGACCAGTCTCAGGATCATCACGAGGCTGAAAGAAAACAAAAGGAAGAAAGATGAAGGTCACTCTGATGGACAGGACAGTCATGTACTCCCTATCATGCTGTTCCTATGCTGTGGCCTTTGGGAGCTCGGTAGCCTTCCCTAGAGCAGAGGGGGAGTTTATTTTTCCTATTTTCTAACTTAAAAACATTCCGTGAACAGATGAGTGAAAACAAACCCACTGTTCTGAAAACCTTGGATGAGGGATTAAGAGAAAAAGGTCAGGAGAAATGAAAACTTCCAAAAGCTACCCAAGAAATTGATTGGAAAAAAGTCAAGGGTGTTGGAGAGACAGGTTCAGCAGTTAAAAGCATTGGCTGCTCTTCCAGAGGACCAGAGCTCAGTCTGCATCCATGGCAGGTGATCCTAATAATAAATGACATGAAACTCTAGCCCCAAGGGGTCTGATGACCTTTTCCGGCCTCTGTAATCATCTGCACAGACATGACATATACACTCTTGTGTGTGCACATGTATACACATCCAGACAAAGAGAATAAGACAAATCTATTCACAAAAAGAAAATGGAACAAGGAGTAATTCAGTGGGAGCATTTTTTTTTTAAGAATATCAGGTACATTCAATCACCCAGGGTCCTTTCTTCATCACTAACTCCCACTTTTGATCCTTTCCAGCATCAAACACCATCTTCATATCAGGGACACAGTTAGAAAGTTACGGAGCCACTCTAAAAAATTCAACAGCAACACAAGTGCATGAAACTACTCAGAAGGCTTTAACCCAGGGCTAAATACTACTGATACTTTGAAGTACTTCCTTCTTGTCTTTGTTTTTGCCACAGACATCTTTAAACACTGGGTCAAACTGTATTTGCTGTGTTTTCATCCTGCTTGTATGTTTTATTTTGACATTATTAATTTCCAGTGACGGCAAATAGTTTTCAATCATGATATGCAAATGCCTGCTTAAATAGATAAAAATATTTACATTTCTTTACAAATATTTACATTTATTAAATAGATAAAATATTTACATTTATTTTCAGGTGAATTTTTCGCTCGACTATTTTCTATTAGAAATACAGTCCAAGTGAACATTCGGCTTTCCATGCTTCTTTGAAATAATTTCTGAGAAATGAAAACGTGTACCAAAGGAAGGCAATGTTTATGGTTTTCAACACTCAAGGAAAGCTTCCAGGAGGAATTAGACACATTTTCTCTATATTTTAATTGATAATCTGTTTAATTTCATGGATAGCACCACAGGATCAGGGCTGGGATGCAGCTCAGTGGCAGAGCGCTTGCCTGGCCCTGGGTTCGGTCCTCAGCATTGAAAGAGCTGCCGTCCCTAACTAACAACTAAGAAGTCTTCCCCACAGGCGCATGTAGAACACTTGGTCTCCAGCTGGTGGTGCTGTTTGGGAAGGCAATGGCACCTCTAGGAAGAGAAATCTGGTTGAAGGCAGTATGTTACTAAGGTGTGGGCTTTGAGATTTTTTAGCCTGGCCCTCTTCCTTTTCTCTCTGTGTACACAGAATATGGTCACTTTACTTCCAAATTCCGAGACCATCTCACCTACTGCTGCTGTGCCTGACCTGAAATGATGGACAGCATCCCCTGTGGAACATGCTAACAGGATGGACAGTGTCCCCTGTGGAACATGCTGAATGATGAATAGCATCCTTTGGAACATGCTAACAGGATGGACAGTGTCCCCTCTAGAACACCCCCCAGGCATAAGCCCTCTTCTCCTCTAGGTTGTGATTTGTCAGAATAATTTATAACAGGGACAGAAAAGTAACTAATACACTAAACACCCAACCAGAACCATAAACAAATAAATGAAATCAAATGCATATAATGGCTCAAAATAGGAGAAATTTAAGGTTACTAGCTAAAAAAAAAATCTCCCTTTGAAATTCAATGACCCAGACTGTCACTAAATCATTTTACAAGCAGAGAAATCTTGAGGAAAATTGAGGAGGAACTCAACTCATTAGTCTGATAAAGATAAATGTGTACATCTGATTGGATACTACAAAGCACATCGGAGGGGGAATGTTGTCACACCAAAGAATGACTGAATTCATGGTGGTTTAGGTCTGTTATAATTAAAATATTGTAATAATTATCTGACCTTTCAGATGAAAATTAATTCCTTTAAAAATACTTTAAAAGATTTAATACAGTGTGTGTGTTTGTGTGTGTGTGTGTGTGTGTGTGTGCCTGCAAAGTCCAGAAGACATTGCCTGATCCCCTGGACCTAAGGTTTCAGGTGGCTGTAAGACACCCAGTGTGGGTTCTGGGAACCAAATCCACTTCCTCTGGGAATGCAGTGAATGCTTGTAACTGCTGAGTCACTTCCCCAGCATGAAAATCAATTTCTTTTCAAAAAAATTAATTTATTTTTATTTTATGTGTAATAATGGTTGCCTGCATGCACAGATATGTATGTAACTGGTGCACACGGAGGACAGAGGGGAAGGTTGGATCCCTTAGAACCAGAGTTACAGGTGGTCATCAGCCAAACCTGGTCCTCTGCAAGAGCAGTAAGCGAGCCATCTCTCCACCCCCATTGAAAATGAATTCTTCACAAAATTCACCACACTTTAGCAAGACTGGGCACATTTAGGAGGTACTGCTGTAGCCTGTCGCCACTCTGAAACACTGTACAGGAAAGCACAGATCAGAAGAAAGGTTCTCACCTTACGCCTGCAACCAGCCCAGCAGGCATTATTTTCTTGGATCTCTTGAATCTCACACCCATTATGGTGGCCAGGAAGAAAGCTGTAACTGAAACCCAAATACCGTGAATTAGAATTTTAAACATTATCTATGTCTGCTAGTGAAAAAACTAAAACCAGGTACCCCAGGGGTTAAACAACAGGCATTCTCCTGCTATGCCCAGAGGAAGAAATACTCTATGATAGCAAGTAAAAGTACTGTTCTTTAGAGAATCTTTTTATTTATTTATTTATTTATTAAAGATTTCTGTCTCTTCCCCGCCACCGCCTCCCATTTCCCTCCCGCTCCGCCAATCAAGTCCCCCTCCCTCATCAGCCCAAATAGCAATCAGGGTTCCCTGCCCTGTGGGAAGTCCAAGGACCACCCACCTCCATCCAGGTCTAGTAAGGTGAGCATCCAAACTGCCTAGAGAATCTTAAGGCATAGCTGTACATACAAGCTATCGGTGCACTAAACAGAATTCTGATTTAGTTTCTTGCAACACATGTTATAGAATGAGGTGAAGTCGGGCAGTGGTGGTGTATGCCTTTAATTCCAGGACTCGGGAGGCAGAGGCAGGCAGAACTCTGTGAGTTCAAGGCCAGCCTGGTCTACAAGAGCTAGTTATAGGACAGCTAGGAATATCACACAGAGAAACCCTGTCAGGGGAGAGCAAAGAAATGAAGTGGAAGGCTAGGCCATCAGTACTATCAGTTTGATCAGTTCTGTCTAGAAAGCAGCAAGAATTATGTTCAGTCTTGACACAGACTCACGGACACTTAACTTTGACAGTTCATTTTCTAGTACGCCCGGTACAAAGTGTGACGGTAACATCTTCCAGGTTGAACCTCTGTAACTGCAGAAAACATATCACTTACACAATGACACTTTGACATCCCGTTTGTCATTTGAGACACGGTAGGCTCCATACCCAGCCAAAACTCCAACAGAAAGACCAGCAATCAAAGATGGAACTCCACCTATGGGAGGAGAGAAAAAGAGAGGAGGATTACATGAGCTGGATACATAACTCAGCAGTTAGTAGGAAGTACTGTTCTTGCATGGCCTCCTCGGACTCTTGCATTCATGCATACATTCCCACACATACACACAGTTAAAAATAATGAAAATATGTATTTTTAAAATGAAGAAAAGAAAAAAACTACAGCCAGGTGTTGTGGCGCACGCCTTTTAACTCTATGATTTTGAGGTCTATACAGAGTTTCAGGATAGCCAGGGCTACATACAGAGACCTGGCCTAAAAAGAGAGCAAAAAGGAAAGAAAAGAAAAAAGAGGCAATTACTAAAGAGAGAGAGAACCTGAAAGATGAAAGGAATTCACGTGGGTCTCTGCCTCTGCCTCCATCAGTTTCTGGATGATGGCCCTATGATGAAATTTAAGATATTCATCAGTCTGACTGCAGAGCAAGTCAAGATTGGGCCCCCTCTCCTCCATAGCTTAGGGTCTAAGCTGGAGTCAGCCTTGTGGATTCCTGGGAATTTCTCTAGAGTCAGATTTATGCTAAACCTATAACAGCTCCCTCAATCACGATATCACTATCCCTGCTCTCATCTCTGTCCTTCCTCTATCTCGACTATCCCACTCCCTCAAATTCTTCTCACCCCGCCTTTCTCCCTTTCTCTCCACCTTCCACCATCCCTTCTCCCCTTTACCCCCATGCTCCCAATTTTGTCAGGCAATCTTGTCTGTTTCCAATTTCCAGGTGAGTCTATATATGTTTTTCTTTGGGTTCACCTTATTACTTTGCTTCTCTAGGATTATGAACTACAGGCTCAATGTCCTTTGTTTATAGCTAGTATCCACTTATGAGTGAGTACATACCACATTCATCTTTCTGTGTATGGGTTACCTCACTCAGAATAGTGTTTTCTAATTCCATCCATTTGCATGCAAAATTCAAGATGTCATTTTTTTTTACCACTGAGTATTACTCTAATATGTAAATATACCACATCTTCTTTATCCATTCTTCAGTTGAGTGGCATCTAGTTTGTTTTCAGGTTCTGGGAATTACAAATAATGCTGCTATGAACATAGTTAAACAAATGCTTTTATAGTATGGTTGAGCATATTTTGAGTATATGCCCAAGAGTGGTATTGCTGGGTCCTGAGATAGGTTGATTCCCAATTCTCTGAGAAACTGAAATACTGTCATGTTAGGTTTTCTAGATGTACAGAGATATATTTCAGATGGATAGCAATTCTTTCAAAGATCTTCAGAATATGGTGTTTAAGAACTTAGGAGTTTTCATGACAAGGAGACACATCTGCTCCTGGTAACATCAATTATTTCAAGAGGATAATGGGCATTGAAGAGGCTCCTCATGGAGTTTTCTAGCCATTTGGGCCAGAAATTGTTCTTCCCTGGATTCCTTAATGTTATGCTGTATGAAATGGACATACAGGACCCACGGAAAAATAACTGCTGAAATCTCAGTCACCGTAAAAACATCTACAGCGCCTTGTGCTACTCACACATCTTCAGGAGATCCTTGTACAGCCACCAACTCCTCACAACAGCCACCAATTCCCGACTACAGCCACCGACTAACCACTTCTGCCACTGCTCCCCACTACAGACATAACTCCCCACTATAGCCACTGACACCCCACTATAGTTACCTGCTCCCCATTACAGTCATCAATGCTGTACTTAAGTCATCAACTCCCCACTACAGCCACCAACTCCTTTGTTGAATTTGTGCACGACATGGTGGTGCAGCACTTGGCAGATCAGTAGTAAGTGTGAAGCCAGCCCGCGCTACACGGGACACTGTATCCAAAGTGAGGCAGAGAGGAAGGAAGAGAGGGAGACACGGAGGGAAGGAAAACAGGAAAGTTTTGGCTTACCTCTTCGCTTATATCCCAAAATACTTCCAATTGTCACAAGGGCTGCATAACCAAAGCCAACCAGGTCCATTGGTGAGGATTCAAGTCTAAAGAAAGGGTGAGGGGCATATTATATAGCGTTCTGGAGAAGAAATGTAGGTACCCATGATAGGTACCCCAAAAAGCTGTGAGATTTCTCTGGCCCACCACAGAAAGGAAGTTCCATCTTTTCTCTTGTACCACCCAGCTACTGTCCCCCATCTCATCACTCCAAACACGCATGTGCAGTGGGGACACGTCAGCTAATTCTTCAAGACCTTCCATACCCTCAGCTGTTTCATTTCTAAATGAGACTTCTGCTCTGGGAGAAGTCTAGACATCACCACTCCTCCTCGACTCCAGGCCTGCAAGGCCTTTTCCCCTCGCCCTATGAGACACAGCCAACACCTGTGCCCATCGTCCTCCGCACCTTCTCCCCGGCCTCTTCTCTCAATTATTTCTTCGCCGAATCTTGGGACTTTGTCTATACAGAGCTCTGCAGTGGTGGCTTCTGCCTCCTCTGAATGAGGGTTCACTCTGACCATGTGCTTTGTTACCAACATCCCAGCGGCCAAGACATCCACTTGTAGCCAATAGTAAATCACTGTGCATTATAATGCCCTTCCCCAAAATTCATTGTCCTGTGAATCCTGGGACCAGTACCGCACCCTCAGTGATGGGGAGAAGTTCCAGTGAAACCCTACCCTCAATCTCCCAAGATGCAACAGAAGAGAGGTGGCCCCAGGGGATAAGGAATCAGCCTTTAGCTCAGAGGTTCCCAACCCGTGGGCTGTAATGCTTTTGGGGGTCGGGTGACCCTTTGACATGGTCACCTAAGATCATCTCCATATCAGATATTTACATTACGCTTCACAACAGCAGAAAATTACAGTTACAGAACAGCAATGACTATAATAGGAGGGTTGGGGTCCCCACAAGATAAGGAACTGTACTAAAGTTCTCAGCACTGGGAAGGTCAAGAACCACTGCTCTAGGTGGCTGTGGATCCATAGGTCAGGCCCCTTCTTCTCCCCATATCCCCAAAGTGAGGGATGTAGATGAGATGTAGTTCTTCAGCTGCTTAAAGTCTACATTGACTATTGACTTTTTAAATAATATTTTTATTATTTCTTTGAGAATTCCATATAGTGTATTTTTAACCTTCTCTTACCTCCCCCAAATCTTCCCAGATCCACCACACTTTGTGCTTTCTCTTTCTTTCCCACAGAGTCCAATTTGTGTTTCTAAAATGCTCTTGGGGGTGAGGCCTAGACAGGGTCAGACCTGCCAGGGGTTCATCCACTTAGGAAACTGACCCTCTCTCTAACACAACAACCAAATGCTAAGAGCTCCTCAGGTGACATTGGGGACTTGTGTCCAATCTCCCCATCTCTATGCTGGGATTTGTCGGGCTGGAGCTTGCACGGGCCTTGTGCACACTGTGAGAATCGATGTGAGTTCACACGCGCCCTGCTGTGGTCTTGTGCACGCTGTGAGAATCGGTGTGAGTTCACAAGCGTCCTGCTGTGTCTAGAGAACACTGTTAGCATCTACAACCTCTTGCTCCCACAGTCTCTCCACCCCTTCTTCCTGAATGCCTGAGTCTGCAAGGAGGAGTACGACAGGCAGGCCATTCAGTGCTTCGCACAGGTCACATATCCTCGGGATGGTGACTAACTGGGAGTCTCTGTGTTAATCCCTGACTACTGCAGGGAGTTTCTCTGATGAGGACTGAAACCCGCACTAAACTATGGCACAGCAATAAGCTATGAGGAGTCATTGTCACACAGTTCCCATTCAGCAGAGTAATAGCAGTAGGCTCTTCCTAGGACCTAGGACTTATCTAGCCACGGGATCTTTACATTTTTATATTTTTAAAATTTTTATTTCCATTTGTCCATAGGAAAAATACTGATGTTAGTGAATATGAATGTGGTAATGGTGTTTGAGGTTTCCTGTGCATTTGTCTGTGTGTACATATGTAAGAGCATGTGTATTCTAATGGGGGAGCTAATCCAGGTCTTCACATACTGCTTCACTACGCAGCTGTATCCCTGGCTCACCTGTGTGTTCCTTTAGATGAGCCAGTTTTATGAGACTAACTCAGAATAGGATAGGTGCGAAATTCCTCTCAGAGTCACTTAGTGTCCTGTAAACCAAATGTAGTAGCTCACACATGTAATCTCAGCGTCCAGGAGGCTGGTTCAGGAGGATTTCCAAGAGTTCAAGACCAACCTCACTACACAGTGGGTTCCTGGCCAGTCAGGCTATCGCATGAGATTTTGCCTCAAAAAACCAAATACACACACACACACACACACACACACACACACACGCACGCGCACACTCACACGCGCGCACACACACCCATGCACACATGGACACAGACACATACAGAGTCACAGCAGAGGAGGCAGCACAGAAAGAACTCCCACACTGACATGAAGAACTAATACAGCAGATGTCAGCTGTACCCAAGAAGCGGCATCAAGACGCAAAACTTACAGGAAGGACCTGCATCGAAAAAAACATCCGATACCTGAAAAAGAGATGAGATACAATAGGAGGGGCAGGAAACAGCTCGGTGATTAAGAGCACAGCCTACTCTTCCATAATGCTGGGGTTCAATTCCCAGCACCTACAGGGCAGCTCATAACTACCTGTAACTCTAGTTCCAGGGGCTCATGAACACTCCTCTAGCCTCCATGGGCACCAGGAATTTGGTGTGCAGACATGCATACAGGCAAAATACTCAAAAACATTAAAAAAAAAGAAAAAGAAAAAAGAAAAAAAAACCCAGAAAACTAGAGAAGAAGTGTGGAAAAAAAAAAAAAAAACAAGGAATGTATAAGCACAGTGCTGAAGTACACACACACACACACACACACACACACTGTGTGTGGAAGGTATGGGCTGGGGTGTAGTGGCATATGCCTTAAATCCCAGGCAGGATCTATGTGAGTTTGAAGTCAGTCTGAACTACACCATGAGTTCTAGGCCATCCAGTGCTGCATGAACCCTCATGTGGGAGTGGGGAATACATAACTAATTAAACTTTTAAAAACTAAACAAATAAACAAATGGAAAACTTAAAAAGAAACAGTCAGAGGGGTGGTGGGAAATACAGTTCTGAGTGACTAGCATTAGATTCCACAGCATCCTAGTCAATCACTGTGTGGATTTAGGAGGGAAGTGCTACCATGTATCTCCCAATGGAGGAAACAGGCACAGGGAAGGCAAGCAATGTCCAAACCACACAGAGCCAAGATTTGGGGCCCACGGATGTCTTGGTGTTGGAAACTGTGCCCTAACATCCCTGAGAACTGAGTCATTGGGCTGAACAAGGTGAACAGGCAGAGGAAGGGATGAATTTCAGAGTTCTCCACCGTGGATTCTGATCCCGAATAGCCCCACACCCGTGAGCACAGCGCATCATCCACCTGGTGAATCACGCTTTTCTGCCCCATGCACAGCGCACACTGAGTCCTCCCTAGCACTATGTATGAGCCACGCTGGACCACAAACCTGGGCATCAAGCTGATCCCAAGACTTACAGGCTGTGTAAAGTCAGGTGCATCCTCAACTGCTCTGTAATCCCATCTGTCCATTTGCACAGAAGGAAACTAGAAACGTCTAGCTCCCATGGCTACTTACAAAATGAATTCAACCTCCTGAATAGTCCCTGGCACACACTGAGCATTCAATGCACATTAGCTGTTCTAAGCACAGAAAGACAAATCCATGTGTCCTCACTTACATGTGGAAGCTAAGAAATTACCAGAGCTTGGGAATGGTGTGGGGAGGGAGAGGTTAGCAGTACAGAGTGTAGCTGTCAAGTAGAAACAGCTTGGAATATCCTTCAGCACAGTGAAATAGCTGTGGTTGGCCACAGATTCCTCAATAGCTAGTATACAGGACTATTCTGGATGGTCCCAGCATAAAATAATAAATATCTTAGGTAATAGCTATGCCAATTGCTCTAAACTGTTGATAAAACATTAAATATATGATATTGAAATGCCATAGTCTATCCCATAAATGTGTACAACTATTATGTGCTAATTAAAAATAAAAGTATATTTTGAAACAAATATTAGCTTGCAGTAATAGTATTCTTTCATTTTTACTCCTATTTTTAAGGGTCATTATTGTTTCAGCACACAAGAGACCAACTGTCATGTGGACATTCAATAAAGCATATTTAAACTCCTTCCCTTTCAACGAGTATTTATTATCTCTGTAGGAAGTAGAAAGCAGTTTCGGAAAGGTTGGGGACACAAGCTTGTGGACAGTACAACAGAGCAGAGAGAAGCCGGTGGTGAGGACCCCCGAGATGTCAGACATCTGGTGGGCACGGGAGCCCAAGGAAGGATGTCCAGGAGAGGCAAGGTCCCAGCTGCGATCTTGCGGGAAAGCAGGAATAAGCACAACGAACAAGTGTTCCAGGCAGATGAATGAACGCATGCAAAGGCTTCCAGGAGTGGGGACCGAAGGCTTGCTTGCAAATAAAATGGAATTCAGAGGGTGGAGGAAGGCTGGGGATCACTTGGCAAAGAACCTGAGCTCTGTTTCCAGCACCCACGGGTGGGCAGCTCACAACTGCCTGTAACCCTAGGTCCAGGGGATCTGATGACCTCCTTTGAACTCCGAGGGCAAGTACAATCATGTGCACAAACTCACCCTGAGACTCACATAATTAATAAATAATAAGGCAAATCTTAAAAATGGAAACAAATGGGCTGTGAGAAGAGCACCTGTTCAGAAATCTCACCCTGCACTCAGCAGCCCTGCAAAGGGCGTCTGTGGCTCCTGTCCTAAGGCCAGCAAAGGGTTAAATGAGCAAGCCTTGCAATCTGACTGAAAATCTACCCAGTGTTTCCTAGCTGTGGTAGTGGAACCTAAGAAAGGCAGGGGCATACGTTAGGAGCTGAAGCAGTAAACTAATCAGTCGATGAGAGTGATCCACCCTGCAGAAACGACAACGGCGGTGGAGAAAAGTGGATGAACTTGAGAGATCCAGCAGTCAGAACTGGCGAACTGGAGGTGGGGCCAGAAAGGCAGGGAAGCTGCAAGGAGGGCTCCTACAGATCTCTGGCCTGGACCTCTCGGAGATGTGGGAGTCGGAAGCCATGATGCTGTTCCCTGAGTCAGAGCCCTGGGGCAGTAGCAAATGTGTGTGAGGTGCGGGCATTTGGAATATAGGCTGAGGTGCCCAACAGCCAGGAAGACACTCTGATTTAGATATCTGGAGCTAAAAAGATAGCTCCTTCATCACTGAATAATATTAGGGACTTAGTTTTTCTTCAGGTGTGAAAAGTAGATTCATCTTCTTCCTGAGCACCCCAAATCTGCTCCTGTGATCCTCTCTTAGACATAAATCCTTTAATTTGGTATAAAACCGCCTGTGGTGTGGTGCTCGTCCGATTCTCTTTTCTAGGTCAGTCAAGTTCTCCGAGGGCAAAGCCACACTCGCGTCCATTGCTGACCTGCACACAGACAGCACCAAGCTCACTGCCCTGAATGAATGAGTGACTGGATGACTGGAACACACAATGTGCTGAAACTATCACATGCAGTGCCCCCCCCCACTGTCGGGACTCCAACAGTTCCTTCATCTCCACACAGAACTCATCATTGCCCTAACGAAGGCTAAAGGAAATTCATTCCCAACCTATGCACACTGAGAAAATGCACACATGTCAATCATATTTCTTGCTTCTTCCCCATGGCAGAGGCCACTTGTCCCCACCACAAACAAGCATTAAGGGAGAGGCTGTAGGAACAGGAAAGGAATGGGGTGTGGCTGGAAGAGGGAGGCACGTTCACTGCAGGTTCCTGAAACAGACAGGAGGCTAGGTACTGATATAAGGCCAAAGAGCATCCTGGACGCAATGCACCGAAATGGTTTACTGCTCGGCAAACAAAACCAAAGGACAAATCCCTGCCTTGCCCAGTATCAAGTTCTCCAAGGCCTGGCCACTATGAGATCTGTACATAAATATACACAAAGCGTTTTCCCATAAAAACAAAACCACTGCCTACCTTGAGCTATGCAGGCATGAAAGTCATTTTTGAAGGAAGTCTGGCTGAACCATACCGACCACCATACCCCACCCCTGGGGAGGTAGAAGGTAAAATAAGTGCTATACGTAGGGCCCCAGGAAGGCAGAATCCAGGAAACTGACAGCATAGGACAGGAGAGATCTCTGGAAGGGCAGCCTCCATCTCTCCTTCCACAGGCCCTCTGAAGTTTTTCTTAGTGCGGAGATTGAGAGATTGAAAGAGAGGGCGCATGCTCAGCAAAGACCCGTTTGTTCCCCCCGTTGTAAGGAAACTTCCATTTATGAGATGGATGCACAGCTCACCTGCAGCCCTGAGCCGCTGCTGCAGCTGGAGAAGGAAAAAGGCGGGGATGCGCAAGCGCGGTACTTCATCCCGGAAGCAGTTTCCGAGCCTGCGCATTCCTTCACCGATTACTATCTTAGAGGGAAGAGAGGCGTCCTCCCCGGAGCTGCTTTGTGCAACCCGGCATCCCTGATCCCACACCCTCCTGCTTTCCGATGCCCAGAAGCGGAGACCTGCTGTAGGGCTGCGGGAACCGAGACCCTGGGAACTTGCTTGTCACCCTGGGTTCCTGGGTCCCAGAGTGCAGGGCTGGAGTCTGCTGCTGCCCCCTCCCGGCCGGGCCGATGCGTGCAGCGAGACTCTTGGGTTTGACTGGGATCCCCAAATAAACTAAGAGTTTTTTTTTTATTTATTTTTATTTTTTTTATTGAGAATAAGAAAAAAAAGTTTCCGCCTCCTCCCCGCCTCCCATTTCCCTCCCCCCCCCCCCCCTCTTC